CTTTGCAAATAAGGAAGGGTGGAGGGGGTGAAGGAAGGGCAGGGAAAGCGGAAAAAATATAAGAACCAAGATATTCATGTAATGGTACAAGATCCCAATGATGTATGTAACTATATTTTACACCTAAAATGTACCAATAAACTTAATGCGGGGGGGAGAAAAAAGGAGTTGAAGGGGAACTCAGGAGTAGAGTATTTGTCTAGCTTGCAGGCATCTTTGGGTTTTATACCCAGCACCCCTCCCCACAAACTAAGAATTAAGGGACTGTTGTCAGCACTCCCACTTCCCTGTGCTCCCCAAGTTTGACCCTGTCCTCTTTCAAAGTTTGCATTTTCTCCTTTCCACAGAGACTTGCAGCTTTTCCTTTACGAAAGCCTCCTCACTCTATTTATTGCGCGTCAACAGTTCTTCACCCCATGCTCTTATCCCTGCTCACCTCCACCATCCCTGTTGACCTCTGGTGCAACTTTGTACTCTGGAGACTGGTGACATGTTGCAAAGTCTTGCTGTAGAAGACAGATGCTCTATTTCCTGCTCCTCAATGGCCTTTGTCTCTCCAGGCCCCCTTTCCTATAGTTCTGGAGTGGATATGATGGGATTCTCAGAGGAGAGCATTCACAAAGTGCTCTGAGTGCTCTGATGAAATTGATTAGGTAAATGGAAACATATTTCTTTGCAACCACTGTATCCTATAAGAACAAGTTGAATAAATGTAGTGGTTCACCATTTTTAAAATAATGAAAGTCCCTTGTCATTTTACTATTCTTTGAGGAAAGATTTATGTTCAAGAGCAAAAAGCCAGAGTGCTTGGTTTGAAATGTTTGAAAAATAAATACAGGTATTGTTTGATAGTTTTAAAGCAGCACTTTTATTATCAGTAATTGATTTAACATTTTGTTTAATCTTTCTAGCTTCTCTCCTGAAGGGTTTGAAACATGCCAATATCGTGCTCCTGCATGACATAGTTCACACCAAAGAGACATTGACATTCGTTTTTGAATACATGGTGAGTTCTCCAGCATTTTACAACACAGGAGGAGAGCCTGGTGCTTGGCTAATGAATCTGTTAATATTTTATGACATGATAAAACTTTCATAACAATGTGGAAAGTATCATGGCAATCTTCTTTGTTATGATTAGTGGAGCCTTATGATTGTTACAGTCATCTTTAATCTGCTTCTTACTCATTATTTTTGCTGTTCTTTTTCCCCTATCAGCAATAATAAACTAGGAATTTGAGTTCACCTTCTAATAAAAAAGTTTTTATTTTTCAAATCTACTTTTAACCACTATTTGAGCAGAATATAACACTTTTTCTCTGATGATAAGTATATATCATAAAATAGTTTAAAACTGTATACAAAGAATAGATCATTTTGCATTTTTTAAAGAACAAAAATTTGCTCATTTTTTTCACCTATTTTTTCTTTTTCCTCACCTATTCTTTAAGAAAATGGAGAAGACCTAT